CCAAGCAAACAAACCCTTCTCTTGCTAATATCGACTGTCTCTCATAGCATAACTTTTCTAAATTTTTTTTTTTACTTTTAATTGTGGCAAAATGCATGTAACATGAAATTTACCGTCTTAACCATTTTTGTGTCCAGTTCGGTGGCATTACGTACATTCACATTGTTGTGCAGCCATCACCACCGTCCATCTCCAGAACTTTTTCATTTTGCAAAACGGAAACTTTATCTCCATTAACCCCTCCCTCCAGCTCCTGGCACCCACCATTCTATTTTCTGTCTCTATGAATTCGGCCACTCTAGATACCTCATATAAGCAGAATCATACAGTATTTGTCAACTTGACTTATTTAATTTAGCATAATGTCCTCTAGGTTTATCCACGGTATAGCATGTGTCAGAGTTTTCTTCCTTTTTAAAGCTGAGTAACATTCCATTGTATCTATAGACCACATACTGCTTATCCATTTATGCATTGATGGACTGGTGGCTTCCACCTTTTGGCTAGTGTGAGTAATGCTGCTGTAAACATGGATGTACAAACCTCTCTCTGAGACCCTGCTTTCAGTTCTTTTGGATGTATACCCAGAAGTCGAATTGTTAGACCATTTGGTAGATATATATATATATATATATATATATATTTTTTTTTTTTTTTTTAAGAAACCACCATACTGTTTTCCACAGCAGCTGCACCATTTTACATTCACACCAACAGTGTACAAGGGTTCCAATTTCTCCACATCCTTGCCAACCCTTGTCTGGGTTTTTCCTACTAATCAACCTGATGAAAGTGATAGCATAATTTTTAATTCATCATTTTGCCAACACTCATTCTTTCTTTAATATTGCCAACACTTCCCCTAGAAGAGATGGAATGAAAGCCCTATCCTGACACAAACGCACAAGTCAATTTCTGGTTTTCCCAAAGAGGGGACTAAGGCAGCCCAGTGATACTAAAGGAACACCACAATCCACGTTTCCCCACATGATGTTCATGTGCTTTTTCTGACTAATTGGCTTTTAGAACAAGGCCCTCAATTCCCCCAAAACTGTACTAGCAGGAAATGAGCTGAGAAAGCTTCAGTAGTGGCCATGGGGGACAGAAGACAGTGAGGAATCTTCCAGAGGACAAAGCTAGATATAGAAAGAAAATGAGCCATCTTGACTCCCTATAACTTTTTTAAAAGTTTTTATTGGAGAACAGTGTGTTTTTCCAGGACCCATCAGCTCCAAGTCAAGTAGTTGTTTCAATCTAGTTGTGGAGGGCACAGCTCAGTGGCCTATGCTAGGATCGAACCGGCAACCTTGGGTTATGAGCCTGTGCTCTAACCACCTGAGCTAACCGGCCGCCCAACTCCCTATAACTTTTTAAATCTTGCTCCTCAGTCCTTGGCCTCTGGCTAGTAACAAGGGGATGGGTGAGAAGTAAAACATCACTTAAAATGTCTGTTTCAGTTTGAGAGGTGGGCTTTGGAGCTGCAGGTATCAGAAAACCCAAATGCAAGTGGGTTTAAGTGATATGGACAATTTATTCTGTCATGTACCAAGAAGTGTCATTGAGGACACAGAGTTTTTTCATCTTTTCTACTCTGCCATTCTCAGATGTTGAGTCACAACATGGCTGTAGAGACTCCAGACACCTTCTCACACAGACTCAAATACAGGCAAGAAAAGAAAACGTCTCTTCTCATAACTTCTTTAAATGCAAGGAAACGATAGAATCCCCCTTTGCTGACTTGCCTTCCACTCTTATTGGTTAGAACTGAGTCACGTGCCCATGTCTATATCACTCTCTATTTTCTTGGAAAATATCATGGTGGAAGTCCCCTTACCAGTGTTTAACTTGCTCTTTTTTTTTTCTAGTTCCTTGAGGTGTAAAGTTAAGTTGTTGATTTGAGATCTTTCTTCTTTTTTAATGTAAATATTTACAGCTATGAATTTCCCTCTGAACACTGCTTTTGCTGCATTTTGCAAGAGAATGAAGTTATTATGATTGGCTTATGATAATCAAGATTCTCAACTCTGGGTCTAATAGGAGCCCAGTTTCCAAAATTTCCCTGAAGCCTAGACTAAAGTAGGGTTCTGTTAGCAAGAAGTAAGAGGGAAAATGAATGCTGGGTGAGCCAACCTGCATGATAGGCTCTTCCTAGAGTTCATACAGGGGAAAAGAGAAGGAGACCTTTAATTTGCTCCCTCCCCCACACACATATACCCTTATTAGTTATCTATTAGCTAACTATTAATTATCTATTGCTGCACAACAGATTACACCAAACTTAGTGACAGAAAATGACACATGTTTATTATCTCAAATTTTCTGTAGACTAGGAATCTGAGCATGGCTTAACTGGGACCTCTGCTTCACAATCTCTCATGGGCTGCAATCAAGGTATTGGTCAGAGTTGAGGTTTTATGTGAAGGCTCGGCTAGAGGAGAGCCTTTTTCTCATTTTGCTTTTTTGGGTTTAGGCTAGACTCGGTTCCTCAAGAGCTGTTGTGCTAAGAGCCTCAGTTCCTCACTGTTAGCTGGAGGCTACTCTAACATGGAAGCTTGTCCCATCAAATTCAGCAACAGAGAGAGGCTGCAGGCAAGACGGAAGTCAGGATCCTTGAAACCTGATGATGGAAGTGATATTTTCATATGTTGTTGTTTAGAAACAAGTTACTCAAAGGGGGGAAATTACCTAAGTACCGGGAGGTAGGATCACTGGGGACCATTTTAAAGGCTCCCTGCCCCCTCTGCCCCCTCTTTTAGATTTCAGGATTTCGGTGCCTGACCACTTGTTTCCCCAACTTCTCTCCTTCTCTCCTCCTGGTACTAGAAAGGCTTCCTCCCCCAACCCCTTCCTGAAGTAGGCGCCACCTTCTTCTTTCCATTGAACAACAATAGCACAATAATTTCAAGGGAACACAATTTAATGGGTAAGAGGAGAGGATTTCAACAATCACAACAGTTTAGCATTTTCAAAATCTTATCCTTTTGAGAGTCTTATAATCATGTACATACTGAGATATGCAGAACGAGTAGTAAAATTAGAAAACAAAGAAACAAAGACAAGATATAGTGGTCCATATGAGAAGTCAGGGTTGCCAGAGATGGTGACTTGGTTTTCCCAACACAACCAGAGGTGGATATATAGAGAGAGTTTTTCTTAGGCTTTATCTCCTTCTTTTTTAAGAGATTCCACTTGTAAGTGTATCAACCAGTATCCAACAGGAAATGGATGATGCACTCCTGATGGAAATAGAGAAGCAGTTTTTTAAAGGGGCTGTTTGTAAAGATGCGGGGAGAATTGAAGGCTGATGCAGCACCCCAGAGCTAGCAAACTGGAGAACTGTTAACATCCATGTGCCTGAAGGTGCAAAGAAGAAGGTGGTTACAGCTACCCAGAGAAAGTGGCTGTGTGGAAGGAACTGTGGTTTCTAGTTTCTTAACAGCCATCCATGGCAACCAGGTAGAGAGAGATTTGGGAGAACAATACATTGACCTTTCTCTCCTCCTGTCTTCTATCTCCTGCCTGTGCCTACCATTGGCCAAACATAACCAGAAGCCAGAGGACAAAGACCCATAAGTGTGGTCCATACAGGTTGGTCTCCTGAGACATAGAGCAGAATGGAAAAGGGTGGACCTGTTGGGACAAGTGGAAGGTACAGCACATTAAGCACAGACCATAGTTTCCTGGAAAATATCATGGTGGAAGCCCCCTTACCAGTGTTTAGCTTGCTCTTTTTTTTTCTAGTTCCTTGAGGTGTAAAGTTAAGTTATTGATTTGGGCTCTTTCTTCTTTTTTAATGTAAACATTTACAGCTATGAATTTCCCTCTGAACACTGCTTTTGCTGCATTTTGCAAGTTTTGGTATGCTTTGATTTCACTTTTATTCATCTCAATGTATTTTTTTATCTAACTTGTAATTTCTTCTTTGACCCATTGGTTAAGAATGTGTTGTTTAATTGCCATATATTTGTGAAGTTTCCAGTTTTCTTTTTGTTACAGAGTTCTCATGTCATTCCATTGTGGTCAGAGAAGATACCTTGGATGATTTCAATCCATCACCAAAGTTAAATTAAACAAAAGTGAACTACTAAACCACAATGAGCTACCACTTTGCTTCTCTTAGGATGGCTATAATTTTTTAAAAATGGAAAATAACAAGTATTGGCAAGGATGTGGAAAAATTCCAACTCTTATACACTGCTGCTGGGAATGTACACGACTATAGAAAACAATCTAGTGATTCCTCAAAAAGTTAAACAAAGAATTACCATATGATCCAACAATTCCACTCCTAGGTACACACCCAAAGGGATCAGAAACAGGGATTCAAACACATACTTATGCACGAATGTTTATAGCAGCACTATTCGCAGTAGCCAACAGGTGGAAACAAGCCAAGTGTCCATCAACAGATGAATGAATAAACAAGATGTGTGTCCATACACTGGGATATTCAGCCATCAAAAAGAATGAGGTTCTAATACATGTTACAACATGGATGAATCTTCAAAACATTATGCTAAGTGAAAGAAGCCATGCACAGGAGGACATATAGTAAATGATTTTATTTATTTGAAATATTTAGAATAGGCATATTCATATAACAGAAAGTAAATTAGAGGTTACCAGAGACTGGGAGGAGACGTTAAATGGGGAGTCATTGCTTAATGGATAGAGAGTTTCAGTTTGGGATGATGAAAAAAAGTTTTGGAAATAGATGGTGGTGACGGTTGTATAATACAAAACTGTGAATGTAATTAATGCCATCGAATGGCACACTAAGAAAAAGTTCAGATAGCAAGTTTTATGTTATATTTATTTTACCACAATACATTTTTTTAATTCTGCCTTCTTTCTTTTTCTACCATCATACACCAAAGAAATAAAAGATCCAAGAGGAAGAGAGCTAGAGGATCATCACGAAAATAACTTCAGTTCAGTGTGCGAGTCTGATAGGAAAAATAAACAAAGGCAGCCTTGGGTTGGTGACAAATAGCCCCCATCCCCAGAAAAAGTGAGAAAAGTTTTGAATGAGACAAAATAAAGAGTTACTGGAACCAGTAGCAATCCCTGCTCACTGCTGATTAAATCACTACCCTTCATTGCCTGTCCAGGTTGGGCAGAGTCAGTGGCACCTTCCACTGGTGACTATCCTGCACTGCAGACCACGCTGCACTCCCCACAAAGTCAAGGTGATCAAGACGAAAAGAGAAGGCAACCTGCACAGAGTTCACACTAGATATCAGACATTATTAGTTAATTGTTTTATTATATAGGCTATTTCATTTAAGGTTCTTGGGGTGGCCCGTGTTTTCCAGGTGGAAAAACTGAGTGTCAGGCCGCGCATGTGATCATGAAAAAGCTAGAGCCGAAATGTAAAGCAAACGTTTATTTAAAAATCCGGCAGCTTCGTGCCAGGGTCCTTCTCAGAGCCACCCTGACTTCCTTGTTGCGCAGAGTGTACACCACCGGGTTCAGCAGCGGCGTCACCACCGTGTAGAAGACAGCCACCAGGCGGTCTTGGTTGAGGTTTCCTCCAGACTCAGGCCTCAGGTAGATGATGGAAGCACAGCCAAAATGCACAATGACCACGGTGAGGTGGGCTGCACAGGTGGAGAAGGCCTTGTGCCGGCCGGCTGCCGAGGGCATCCTCACGATGGTGGCCACGATGAAGGCGTACGAGAGGAGGATGAGGAGGAAGGAGACCAGCACCACGAGGATGCTAAGGAAGAAGATGGCCAGAGCTTTGCCCGCACTCTCAGCGCAGCTGAGCTTCAAGACTGGGGCGATGTCGCAGAAGAAGTGCTCTACATGGTCACTGCCGCAGAAGGGCGAGGAGAATATCATGCTGGTCTCGATCAAGGCCACCGAGAACCCTGAGCAGAAAACCAGAGCTCCCAAGCAAAGGCAGGCTGTAGGTCTCATGATCACTGAGTAATGCAGGGGATAGCAGATAGCTACATAGCGGTCATAACCCATTAGGGTCAGGAGGAAGCAGTGGCTGCAACCCAGGCCCAGGAAGAAGAACATCTGAGCCCGACAGCCAGCAATGGAGATGGCCTGGCTCTCCATGAGCAGATGAACCAGCATATTGGGGATGGTGACCAGCGTGTAGCAGGTCTCAGAGAGGGACAGCACCGCCAGGAAGCGGTACATGGGCGTGTGAAGGGTCTGATCCATGTGGATGATGGTGATGATAGTGACATTGCCACTGAGGGTGACCAGGTACATGAGGAAGAATAGCATGAATAGAATGGTCCTCAGGTCTGGGAGATTGGAGAAACCCACCAGCACAAACTCTGTCACCAGCCAGGTGGCATTTTCCCACTGTTTTTCATGAGTCTGGGAGGAAAGGAGAGAGTAAATACAATAGAACAAGTTACTAAGAGTCTGCGACACAACAGGGACTGGTGGCATGAGAGATCCTTGTTTTACAAAAAAGAAGAGACTCAGAAATGATGTCACTTGTTTTCCTAATACACCCAGCTAGCAAGTGTCTCTTCAATAACAAGAAAATCATAGACATAGAAACAACCTAAATGCCTGTCAACAGATAACTGGATAAAGGAGATGTGCTGATATATACAATAAAATATTAGTCAGCCATGAGAAAGAATGAAATCCTGCCATTTGCAACAACATGGATGGACTCTGAGGGCATTATGCTAAGTGAAATAATTCAGACAGACAAAGATAAATACCACATGCTCTCACTTATATGTGGAGTCTAAAAGAGCCAGACTCATAAAAACAGAGGAAAATGGTGGTTACCAGGGGTTGGAGGGCGGGGGAAGAGGAACGATGCTGTTTAAGGGTACAAATCTGCAACTAGTAGATAAATAAGTTTGGAGATCTAATGCACAGTAGAGTGACTATGGATAACAATATTGTATTATAATCATCAAACTTACTAAGAGACTACACTTTAATTATTCCCTCCGCAAAAAAGAAATGATAATTCTGTGACAGGACAGAGGTGCTAATTATTGCTACAATGGCAATCGTGTTACAACATACAAACATATCAAATTAACATGTTGTACACCTTAAACTTACACAATCTTCTATGTCCAATATATTTCAATTTAAAAAAAAGAAAAAAATCACAGGAACCTATAAAGAATAGAAACTATATTTGGGGTAGGGAGAGATGGTAAGAACATCAGTGCCTTAGTTTGAGCCTCCTAGAAACAGATCCTGAGGCAAGGATTCAAGAACAAATAGTTTATCTGGGCTGTTATCCCCCAAAACATGGGTGGAGAAACGGGGAAGGGACACGGGGAAGAGAGAGCAACAAGGAAATCACCACTGTGGGCAACCAAAATTTAATCCCACCTGGGGAACCCTGAGGGACAGTGAGGAAGCCAGGGTGTTTATCCATCAACCTCCTGCTTGTCATTGCTTGAGAGTTTCTACCAGGAAAAATGAATTTCTCATTTCCAACTTGACACATGTGCAGGGAATTCAAAGCCTAACTGGTGAGAAAGAAATAATAAGGGCCAATGGGATGGGGCCGGGAGTTTACAGTGCCTGCCACAGTCCAAATACCCGAGAAAGACAAAGCTTGTAACATTGCTGTTATCTAAATTTATTTAAATTTTATAAAAATTTAAAATTTTTATATTTTAGGGCTGCACTGATGTAAAGATGAATGTAATCTTCAATCCTAAAAGTTCATTTATTTCTGCTTATCTTAAAAGAAATTTAAACAACTTCATGGGCCCCTTAATAGTATTGTGAGCCCCCAGACACTGTGCCTAATGGATACATCTGTGTTCATTAAATGGAAAGTCACGCTGAAATGGTTGACCATTTTAATTCAAATGATGAGATTTATAGAAATGCTGGATTGGCAATAGTTTTATCATTTTATAATCAATTAATCAATTTCAAAAATATTGGGTTGTCAGAAAAGTCATGACGCATGTTTGCAACAGATGGCACTAGTTCATTTTTGGAAGTACTAGAGTCATTCGCATCTATGTGATTGCTATGTCATTTGACAGCTGACAGTTCTAGCTTCATTCTAAAAAAAATTGAGCAATTTGGTTGAGCTTTGGAGATTTTACAACAAGTTGAAGGTGGAAGACCAAACTGTGCATTTTTGCCATATTTTACTGTTTTACTTCCATAAAGGGAAGAACACACTTCAAGCTTGTGAAAAGTTGCATAAAGTTTACGGTGACAATGCTCTACAAGAACATCAGTGCTAACGATGGTTCACGAAATTCCGTGCTGGTGATTTTGATCTCAACAATGCTTTTCAGTCAGGGAGGTCCACCGAGGTTGATGATGACAAAATAAAGGCATTGATCGAGTCAAACCCACATTACACAACACGAGAGATTGCAGAAACATTGAACATCCATCATTCAAGCGTTCACGACTACCTGAAGAAACTGGGATACATAAGCAAGCTCGATATTTGGGTTCTACATGAACTCAAAGAAGTTCATTTGACAGCATGTATAAACATCTGCAATATGCTCATTAAACGTGAGGAAAACGATCCTTTTTTGAAGCGACTGATAACTAACTGGTGATGAGAAGTGGATTGTTGACAACAATGTGGTGCACAAACGGTCTTGGTCCCGACGTGATGATTCGCCTCAAACGACATCAAAAGCAGACATTCATCAGAGGAAGGTTATGCTCTCAGTGTGGTGGGATTTTAAAGGTGTTGTGTTTTTCGAGCTCCTACCAAGGAACCAAACAATCAATTCAAATGTGTGCTGTTGGCAATTGGACAGTTTGAACGAATTCACCATCCAGAAACATCTGGAGCTTGTTAATTGTAAATGAGTTGTGTCCCATCGCGACAACGTGAGACCACACACGTTTGATCACCCGTCAAACATTATTGGAGCTTGGATGGGATGTGTTGCCACACCCACCATACTCGCCTGACCTTGTGCCATCAGACTTCCACTTATTTCGCTCTCTTCAAAACTCCTTGCGTGGTATAACGTTCAATTCAGATGAGGCTGTAAATCAGCACCTTATTCAGTTTTTCACAAATAAAGATAGGTCCTTCTGTGAATGAGGAATTATGAAGCTCACTGAGAGATGGCAAAAGGTTATTGAACAAAATGGGGAATATATCATTGATTGATCTTTGTTCTTTATATAAATAAATGACCAAAAACATAGACAAAATACATCATGACTTTTCTGACAACCCAATATATACCTATATTGGAATGTTTTTGAGAGTACTTTACACACATTTGAAACATAGGACTCTGTTTTAAAGGAAATGGTCCTAATGCAATCTTTCCCTGCTTATCAAGAGTTAATTGGTTTAGGGGTGGCCAGTTAGCTCAGGTGGTTAGAACACAGGCTCATAACACCAAGGTTGCCAGTTTGATTCCCACATGGGCCGCAGAGCTGCACCCTCCACAACTAGATTGAAGACAACTACTTGAGTTGGAGCTGATGGGTCCTGGAAAAACACACTGTTCTCCAATAAAATTTCTTTTTTAAAAAAAGTTACAGTAAGTCCCCAACTTATGAACATTCGAGTTGCAAACTTTTACAGATATGAACAGACCTCACATTAGGAACATTCGTAGATGCACACAAATTGCGGAAGTAGCTCACATGTCTGCCGGACATTGTCACAGTTGTGTTGCTATATGTTTACTGTGCAGTGCGATAGTGTACAGCAGTAGAGTGCTCAGTCAGAGCTCAGGATGTCCGGAAGGAAGAGGAAAAGTAGTGGTGATGTGGAGGGGACTGCTAGGAAGCATCTAAGGTGTATAAGACTCACTTTGTCGGACTTACGAAAGAATCTGACTTACGAATGTTCTCCCAGAACGGAACTCGTTCATAAGTCGGGGACTTACTGTAATTGGTTTAGAAATAAACAGTTCAACCTGGAGATTCTCATATACCTCTGGAGACAAGGAGGTGAGGACTCGCCTCTCAATAAAACCACTAGGTGGTTTATGTGCCATCTAGTGGCACTTGGGGTAATCTGCAAGCCAGGGACCTTTACAAGAGGGTAAATCTATACCACTGAAAATGCTCATCCACAGCAATGGGACCAGAGAAATTGAGAATGATCGTTTAAGTGTTTTGGAAGTTTGCTGAAGCTTAAATTCTGGAAAAATAAATGTTAGATTTTAGTTCTGAAGATATATAGAGAAAAACAACAAAAATGTGCTTGGCGGAGTCCAAAGATATCCTGGTTATAAAGATAAGACAAGTCGGGACCATCAGAGAACTTAACAGAAGCAATGAGGAAGGGATGCCCTTTTTTTTTTCATGAAGAAAAGAAAACCAGTAAGCAGGAAGCAGGCAGTCATGTTGATCTAGCACAGGGATGCATACTTCTTCTGTAAAGGGCCAGATAGCGAATATTTTAGGCTTTGTAGGCTGTACAATCTCTGTTGCAACTGCTCAGTTCTGCCATTCTAGTGTGAAAGCAATCACAGACAATGTTTAAACGAGTGTGCGTGGCTGTGTTTCAATAAAACTTTATTTACAAAAACAGGGAGGGAGCAGGGTTTGGCCCTCAGACTAGTTTGCAACCCCTGATCTAGCACAAGTAAAACTAAAAGAATATTCAACTTAGCTAAACTCCAGCGAGGTGTTCTGAGGGATTTGTGCTATGAAAAAAAGCAAAGCTTGACTTGAAATCTTCAGAAACTAAAGCAAAATGAAAGTACAAAACCAAGAATCTCAGACTCTGCTTAAGAAATCTATCTAAGAAATGGCACACTGGGCAAAGTTGCCCACAGAATTTGTCTGAAAAAGGCTCTTTTACTGCAAATTCAACAATATCAGCGAGAACATCAGAGCCCTTATATAGAAAGAACGATAGAAACAACTTACCTAGAAGCCTGCATGGAGAAAAAAGTATTTGGCTATGACTACTTAAAAATATAATTTCTGAAGATCACAAAACATTGTTAAACTGAAACAAACTTACAGGCAAACCACAAACCAGAAAAAGGTGTGGTCCTAAAAAATGTTTAGTTCTTTCAAATCATTAAACGTTATAAAATACCAAGTGGTGCGTTAGTTAAGAGTTGGCTTGGGATGCCAGCTCTGAGCAGCAGGGCCTCAGTTCGGATCCCACATGAGGGCCAGTGACACTGCTCTCTACAGCTAAGATGGTGAACAACAGCTCGACCTGGAGCTGGGCTGCCGTGAGTCGCCGGAGACAGCATAGGCTGCAGTGAAGCTGCAGTGGGCTGCCATAAGCTACCGTGAACTGCTGGCAGCCTGCGTGAGTGGCTGGCATCTAGTGTGAGCTTCCAAGAGCCGCCATGAGCGGCCATCCAGTGGTCGGCGACCCATCTGCCTCACCTAGGAAGAGCGCAATGATAATACCAACA